GGCTAGCCAGTTTTCCCAACACCATTTATTAAACAGGGAATCCTTTCCCCATTGCTTGTTTTTGTCAGGTTTGTCAAAGATCGGATGGTTGTAGATATGTTATGTTGCCTCCGAGTCCTCTGTTGTGTTCCATTGGTCTGTATCTCTGTTTTGGTGCCAGTACCATGCTGTTTTCATTACTGTAGCCTTGTAGTATAGTTTGAAGTCCGGTAGTGTAATGCCACCTGCTTTGTTCTTTTTGCTTGGAATTGACTTGGCTATGCGGGCTGTCTTTTGGTTCCAGATAAAGTTTAAGGTGGTTTTTTCCAGTTCTGTGAAGAAGGTCATTGGTAGCTTGATGGGGATATTGTCGAATCTGTAAATTACTTTGGGCAGTCATTTTCATGATATTGATTCTCCCTAACCATGAACATAGAATGTTTCTCCATCTGTTTGTGTCCTCTCTTATTTCGTTGAGCAGTGGTTTGTAGTTCTCCTTGAAAAGTTCCTTTACGTTCCTTGTTAGTTGTATTCCTAGGTATTTTATTCTCTTTGTAGCAATTGTGAATAGCAGTTCGTTCTTGATTTGGCTCTCTTTAAGTCTGTTATTGGTGTATAGGAATACTTGTGATTTTTGCACAATGATTTTGTATCCTGAGACTTTGTTGCTTATCGGTTTCAGGAGATTTTGGGCTGAGACGATGAGTTCTTCTGGATATACAATCAGGTCGTCTGCAAATAGAGACAATTTGACTTCCTCCTTTCCTATCTGAATACCCTTTATTTCTTTTTCTTGCCTGATGGCTCTGGCTAGAACTTCCAATACTACATTGGTAGGAGTGGTGAGAGAGGGCATCCTTGTCTAGTGCCAGATTTCAAAGGGAATGCTTCATTTTTGCCCATTCAATATTATACTGGCTGTTGGTTTGTCATAAATAGCTTTTATTATTTTGAGAAATGTTCCATCAATACCTAGTTTATTGAGAGTTTTTAGCATAAAGCACTGTTGAATGTTGTCAAAGGCCTTCTCTGCATCAATTGAGATAATCATGTGGTTTTTGTCCTTGCTTCTTTTTATGTAGTGAATTATGTTTATAGACTTGCGTATGTTGAACCAGCCTTGCATCCCCGGGATGAAGCCTGCTTGGTCATGGTGGATAAGCTTTTTGATGTGCTGTTGCAATTGGTTTGCCAGTATTTTATTGAAGATTTTTGCATCTATGTTCATCATGGATATTGGCCTGAAGTTTTCTTTTCTTGCTGAGTCTCTGCTGGGTTTTGTTATCGGGATGATGTTGGTCTCATAAAATGATTTGGGGAAGGAATCCCTATTTTTGGATTGTTTGGAATAGTTTCAGAAGCAATGGTAGCAGCTCCTCTTTGTATGTCTGGTAGAATTCAGCTGTGAACTCATCTGGACCTGGGTTTTTTTTGGGTGGTAGGCTCTTAATTGCTGCCTCAACTTCAGACCTTGTTATTGGTCTATTCAGGGTTTGACTTCTTCCTGGTTTAGGCTTGGGAGGATGCAACTGTCCAGGAATTTATCCATTTCTTCCAGGTTTACCATTGTATGTGCATAGAGTTGTTTGTAATAATCTCTGATGATGGTTTGTATTTCTGTGGAATCGGTGGTAATATCCCCTTTATCGTTTTTTAATTGCATCTATTTGATTATTCTCTCTTTTCTTTTTTATTCATCTGGCTAGTGGTCTGTCTATTTTGTTGATCTTTTCAAAAAACTAACTCCTGGATTTATTGATTTTTTTGAAGTTTTTTTAAATGTCTCTGTCTCCTTCAGTTCTGCTCTGATCTTAGTTATTTCTTGTCTTCTGCTAGGTTTTGAGTTTTGTGGTCTTGCTCCTCTAGCTCTTTCAATTTTGACGATAGGGTGTCGATTTTAGATCTTTCCTTGCTTCTCATGTGGGCATTTACTGCTGTATATTTTCCTCTAGACACTGCTTTAAATGTGTCCCAGAGATTTTGGTATGTTGTGTCTTCGTTCTCATTGGTTTTGAAGAACATCTTTATTTCTGCCTTCATTTCATTGTTCATCCAGTCAACATTCAAGAGCCAGTTGTTCAGTTTCCATGAAGCTGTGCAGTTCTAAGTTAGTTTCTCAATTCTGTGTTCTAACTTGATTGCCCTGTGGTCTGAGAGACTGTTTGTTATGATTTATGTTCTTTTGCATTTGTTGAGGAGTGATTTACTTCCAATTATGTGCTCAATTTTAGAGTAGGTGTGATGTGGTGCTGAGAAGAATGTATATTCTGTGGATTTGGGGTGGAGAGTTCTATAAATTTCTATTAGGTTTGCTTGTTCCAGGTCTGAATTCAAGTCCTGGATATCCTTGTTAATTTTCTGTCTTGTTGATCTGTGTAATATTGACAATGGAGTGTTAAATTCTCCCACTATTATTGTGTGGGAGTCTGAGTCTCTTTGTAAGTCATTGAGAATTGCTTTATGTATATCTGGGTGCTCCTTTATTGGGTGTGTGTATATTCAGGATCATTAGCTCTTCTTGTTGCATTGATCCTTTTACCATTATGTAGTGTACTTCTTTGTCTCTTTTGATCTTTGTTGCTTTAAAGTCTATTTTATCAGAGATGAGGATTGCAACTCCTGCTTTTTTTTGCTCTCCATTTGCTTGATAAATCTTCCTCCATCCTTTATTTTGAGCCTTTGTGTATCCTTGCATGTGAGATGGGTTTCCTGGATACAGCACACTGATGGGTTTTGGATTTTTATCCAATTTGCCAGTCTGTGTCTTTTGATTGGGGCATTTAGCCCAATAACATTTAGGGTTAATATTGTTATGTGTGAATTTGGTCCTGCCATTTTGATGCTAGCTGGCTGTTTTGCCCAGTAGTTGATGCAGTTTATTCATTGTGTTGATGTCCTTTATCATTTGATATGTTATTGGAGTGGCTGGTACTGGTTGTTCCTTTCTATGTTTAGTGACTCTTTCAGGAGCTCTTGTAAAGAGCTGGTGGTGATGAAATCTCTGAGTACTTGCTTGTTTGTAAAGAATGTTATTTTTCCTTCACTTATGAAATTTAGTTTGGCTGGATATGAAATTCTGGGTTGAAAGTTATTTTCTTTAAGGATGTTGAATATTGGCCCCTACTCTCTTCTAGCTTGCAGGGTTTCTGCTGAGAGATCTGCTGTGAGTCTGATGGGCTTCCCTTTGTGGGTAACTCGACTTTTCTCTCTGGCTGACCTTAGCATTTTCTCCTTCATTTCAATCCTGGTGAATCTGAAGATTATGTACCTTGGGGTTGCTCTTCTTGAGGAATATCTTTGTGGTGTTCTTTGTATTTCCTGGACTTGAATATTGGCCTGCCTTGCTAGATTGGGGAAGTTTTCCTGGATAATATCCTGAAGAGTATTTTCCAGCTTGGATTCATTCTCTCTGTCACATACAAGTACACCTATCAAATGTAGATTAGGTTTTTTCACATAGTCCCATATTTCTTGGAGACTTTTTTCATTTCTTTTTACCCTTTTTTCTCTCATCTTGCCTTCTTGTTTTATTTCACTGAGTTGATCTTCGACCTCTGATATCCTTTCTTCTGCTTGGTTAATTTGGCTGTTGAAACTTGTGTATGCTTCGTGAAGTTCTCGTGTTTTTCAGCTCCATCAATTCACTTAAATTCCTCCCTAAGTTGTTTATTCTCATTAGCATTTTGTCAAATCTTTTTTCAGGGTTCTTAGTTTCTTTGCATTGTGATAGAACATGTTCTTTTAGCTCAGAGAAGTTTCTTATTAGCCACCTTCTGAAGCCTGATTCTGTCAATTCATCACACCCATTCTCCATCCAGCCTTGTTCCCTTCCTGGTGAGGTGTTGTGATGCCTTGTAGGAGAAGAGTCGGCCTGGCTTCGGGTGTTTTCATGCTTTTTGCACTGTCTTTTTCCCATCTTTATGGATTTATCCACCTGTCATCTTTGTAGTTGTTGACTTTCAGATTGGGTCGCTGAGTAGATATCCAGTTTGTTGATGATGAAGTTATTTTTTTCTGTTTCTTAGTTTTCCTTCTAACATTCAGGCCCCTCTGCTGTAGGATTGCTGAGGTCCACTCCAGGCCCTGCTTGCCTGGGGAATCACCTGCAGCAGCTGCAGAACAGTAAGGGTTGCTGCCAGTTTGTTTTTCTGCTATCTTTGTCCCAGAAGGATACCCACCAGATGTCAGTCTGAGCTCTCCTTTACGAGGTGACTCTTTGGCTACACGGGGGTCAGGGAGCTGCTTGAGGAGACAGTCTAGGCTTTATAGGAGCTCAAGTGCTGAGCTTTGAGCTTCGTTGTTCATTCAGAGCTGCTGGGCAGTTACGTTTAAGTCTGCTGCAGCAGAACTCATTTTTTTCCCCTAGATGCTCTGTTCCGGGGAGTTAGGGCTTTAATTATGAATTTCTGTTCTGATGCTGCCTTTTTTCAGGGCTGCCCTACCCAGGCAGGAGGCAGCCTAGTCACTGTCTGCCTGCAGAGGCTTTGCTGACCTATTGTGGGCTCTGCCCAGCTGCCATGTGAACTTCCCTGCAGTCCTGTTTATACAGGTGTAGTTAGAACTGCCTCAGCAGTGGCAGCCCACCTCTATAATGGCGGACTCTCTCTGTAATGGTGGGCTGCCTCAGCAACTACAGGCTGCCTCAGCAATGGGGGACTACCTCCATAGTAGTGGAGTGCCTCAGTAATGGCGGACGCCCCTACCCCACAGAGCTGGACCGTCCGGGGTTCAGCTGTGCTTGCTGTGAAACTCTCAACCCAGAGCGTTTCAGATTCCTGTTTTTTTTGTGGGGGTGGGACCAGCAGAGGCTGATCACCTTCACCTGGCTCCCTGCCTCAGTCCTTTTGTTTTTTTAGTTGAAGGGTCGACTCTCCCAGGTGTTCCAGTTGGCGCCGGGATCTGTCTGATTTCCCATGCCGCGACCCACTGCGCAGGTTGAAACAGCCACGCTGAAATTCCTGGCGCTTTTTCCCGGGAATCTCCTGGCCTGGCTCCTTTCAGTGCCCTTTTTAATCAGATAAATGGGTGCCTCTTTCTCCCAGGCACTGCAATCTCCAGCTAAAACAGCGCCCGGAGGGTGTTCCGGCGCCGGCAAAACAGCCACGCCCCCGAAAACAGCTGCTTGGGCCAAAACAGCCCCACCGGCCAAAATAGCCACACTGGCCCGTGGGGCTCCTCCACCTGGGAATTTCCTGGTCTGTGGGCAATAAAAATCCGTCTGGAAATACGACAACGTCCACTCACCCTCTGCGCTTTCGCTGGGAGCTGCAATCCTGAGCTGCTCCTAATTGGCCATCTTGGATCTGTCTCCCCATATACAAGTTTTTTTTATGTGAATGCTGTGTCCAGCCTCCTCTCCTCTCCTACCCTCTACCTGAAAGGTAGGTTTTGTTTTGTAAGCTTTTTGTTCTTGGGAACAAATGGATTTTGTTTCTGGTTTATTTTTTACCATTGGGAAGGTGGGTTGGGATGATTGGGATAGTATGGTTGGTTTGTTGCTTTTTTCCTGAAGTAGGATTGAATGGAAGGAAACTGCAGTAATGGTGATAAGGAACTGAGAAATTTTTAATTACTGAGACCAATGGTGTAATATTGACAAAGCTACTGACTTCTTGGTAACTGAGGAACCTGAGCAGGCTATGAAGCTATGCCAGAGATGGAGGAGCTAAGAGCCAGTCCTAAATCAGAGGAGAGTTGGAAGCCCAATGTGTTGCTCTAGATGCATGTATTCATAGATATTTTATGTTAAATTACTCATATGTTTATTTTCTATCCTCCCCTGCTGCACTATGTACACTCCATGAAAGCAGAATGTATGCTTCATGAAAGCAGAAGCTATTTCTTGGTCCCTGTAGTATTCTGGCTCAATGCCTGGCACATAGTCATTAATACCTATTTGTTGAATGAATAAACAATTAAGTGGCAGCTTCTTCAGGCCATGAGTAAACTATAGACCTTATATAAAGGGCTGCTATTTTCCATTTCTGTTACTATTTCTATACCTAATATCTGTGATGCTATTTTGTATTATTTTTTTGTCCAGAACTTCCTGTTTGGAATGTTTATGGATGGCGAGTGGTGATCAAAGGGCATTTTCCCAGCACCTGGTAAAGCCACTTAACCAAAAATACATCTAGCAAATACATCTCGCCTAAGACTTGCACATTAATTTGTTCGCTTAGTCTATCTTAAGATCACTCTTTAAAGAGGACATTTGTAAAGAACAACGATTGTGCTGTTTTGTTTTTAAATCTAGGTGTTTTATTTTGTTCATTAAAAAAATGGTGGTTTTGTGATTGCCTTCATGATATTCAAGACCCAGATTCCTTTTATCTTTCTGCTCAGCCTGCTTTGGCAAATGCTTGTTGCTCCATAATGGTGGATCCACCTTCACCTTCAGGTAGAAAAAAAGGAGGGTATGGGGGTATAAATGTGTAAGCCTGCTGAGTTGGTATTCCGCCACTTTTTTTGTGTGTGTGGTGAAATTTAAAATTAACCATTTTAAAGTGAACAATTCAGTGGCATTTAGTATATTCACAGTATTGTGTATTCCCCACCTCTATTCAGTTGCAAAACACTTTTATGACCCCAAAAGAAAACCCCGTATCTGTAAAGCTGTTACTCTTCATTCTCCCTTTCCCCCAGCCCTTGGCAACCACCAGTCTTGTTTCTGTCTCTATGGATTTACTTATTCTGAGTATTCCAAATAAATGGGGTCATATAGTACGTGACCTTTTATGTCTGGCTTTTTCACTTAAAATGTTTTCGAGGGTTTTACAGGTTGTGACATGTATCAGTATTTTGTTCCTTTTTATGGCTGAGTAGTATCCCATTATATGTATATACTACTATTTGTTTATCCATTCAGCTATTGCTGGATTTAGGTTGTTGTCTTATTTTGGCGATAGTGGGTAGCACTGCTATGAACGTTTGTGTACATGTATTTGTTTGAGTACCTGTTTTCAATTTTGGGGAGTAAGTACCTAGGAATTGCTGGATCATGTGTTCTATGTTTCTGTGCTATTTCTTTTTAAAGTAATACTTCCTGTACTATGTGCAGTAATTACTGTCATCCACCGGGAAGTAGTACAAGATGTCTCTTGTGGATGTGAGAGAAAACCAGAACTCTAGGGTCTGTGACCAGAGGAGATTTCCTGGCAATAACTACAGGGGAGAGATTAATAGGAACTATGCATATGAGGTAAGAATTCAGGAATTCCAGACCCCCGCCCCCAACTGCCGTCCTGCCACTCTGGGAAGGAATTAGGTTCTCTAGGTCACCCTTTACATATTTTCCTGGGATTCAATCTCTCAGTCATACAGTGGATTCATCCTAGCCTTCCAATGCCTTAATCTGGAACTGTGATCTGTGTGCTCCAATTTTCTGTCATAGTCAAGCCTTCAAGTACAGGATCAGAAGTGGGCTAATAGCTTCATTTGGTTAAGCATGAGGTGAGGCCCTTCTGTTTGAACATGCTTGGAACTGTACCAATATCAGGGGTGGTAGTGATGGCAGTTGTTAGCATCCAGAGGATAGATCCAGAATGAAATTGCCTCTCACAGTATTTGCACAGTGTAGAATCAGCTTTAATCAGCCCTATTCTACCAGCTTCAAAAATTGGAGGCTGGCAGCTTTCATTTCAGGGTAGTAACCTACCTGGGAGGTCTAAAGAATGATTCTGACAATATTCCAGGAGAATCTTTTCGTGCTGCTATGTGCCTGTGTGCAGGTATTATGTGTATGTAGGAGGGTGGAAAAAAGGCAAGACAGGGTGGGCCTTTATGTTTAGCATGTGGGTGGGGAGGACCTACCATGTGGTATATGTCAGTCACATTTCACATCTGTGACAGGCTGTAACTTCTAGTAAATTTAGTAATAATTTCTTTGCTCCTTTTCTCACTGAGACTCATTAAGGTATAAAATTATCACAGTGTTATGGGCATCTGTGTCCATGTTTCCAGCATCATTTAGGCATCTGGCTGCTTCCTGCTGATGTAGCCTTTTCACCCCTCACCTCCTCCCCTGCCCCTACCAACAGTTGGGAACAAAACACTCACCAAGCAGAGAAGGAACGTGACAGTGGCTGCTTTTCTCCCCTAAGCTAATATTTCTCAAAAAGCATTTGGGGCCGCTTTGGGAATTCTTAACTATGTCCTCGCTGGCATCCCCTTATTTGACTCACAGACGTCTTCCAGCATCTGTCTCTCCACACCACCTCCCCATCCCCCAAAGTGCACTTGGTAAGTCCCTTTCTAAACTTGCCTTTCTCCAGAGTGATACTCTCCCTACGCCTTGGATCCTCCCTTGATTTTCTTCCCTCCTCTGTCCTGCATCCTCTTCTCTGCAATCATCACTTCTGGAACAAGCCTCTTAAACCTACTTCCTATGGTGAACGTGAGTGGTTTTCATTTGCTGCCCCACAGTTTTTATTCCTTCCCAACTCTCCATCCATGTGATTCAGCAGGGATTGAAACCCATCATAGTGACTGGATATAGGCTCCAGGACAGACAATCAGGCTAACTAGTGGTTTTGTTGAAATTAAAAAAAAGAAAAAGCCACTCTTTTTTTCTATAAGGATTACTAAGGCAGAGACTAGAGGTGGAGAGAGACAAATTTCCAATCATGATACTTGAGCTCCTAAATTCTGCCACTTGTAGCTATTCTTACCCTTACAATGATTTCCTGTTATGTGAATCAATACATTTTATTTTATTCTTGGGCCAATTTGAGTTGGGTTTCTATCCCTTGCAATTAAAAGAACTGACCAAGACAATGCCTGTCAGCCTACTGTTATCTCCATTCTGTAGTTCCCTCTGGACCCTATTCAACTGAAGATAGCATCTTGCCTGTATACTTAACCTTCTCAACTCCTGCCACTGACTCACTTCAGTATTAAAATTCCATACATTCACTAGGGTTTTTTAGTCCATCAAGAGGCTTTCCTTTCTAATTCAATCTTTACATAAAGCTTTGAGGAAGATGGAAGAGGCATGTTTATCCCTTTTCTTCTGTTGAGGAAACAAGTTGAAAGAAGTTTATGATGATTTACCCATTTCAAGCTATTTGTAGTCACTGCTGGACTCAAACCTGATCTTGACTGCAGATCTAGAGTTTCTCTTCTTTTCTTTTCCTTTCCATTCTTTTCCTTCTCTCTCTTTCTTTCTTTTTTGTTTTTTTGAGATGGAGTTGCATTATGTTGGCCAAGTTGGCCTTGAACTCCTGGCCTTAAGCAATCCTCCCACCTCAGCCTCCCAAAATGCAACGATTACAGGCATGAGCCATTGGACCTGGCCCTAGAGTTGTTTCTTTTATGAATTGTGTCGCCTCCCCTGGGTAGAAACATGGCTCTAATGTAAACTGACACTGTCTTCTCCCATGGAAACCTTTTTAATACCCATAAGGCCCTGTGGGAGACAGAGGCCTTTGTTTCACTATCTCTTTCAGATTGCTGTCCTCCATTTTTCATTATTTGGTAACATTTCATCTGTCTGTAACATCTACCACAAGTCTTTGTTTCTGTTATAGGTTTCTTCTCAAGGACTTAACCTAATTTAAAAATATGACTTTTGCCCAAATTTGATTTGGGTCCTACTGCCCATTGGAGAACTCCTTGACTTCTTCAATCCTTAATTTCAACATCCCAAGACCTCAAATCAACAACCCAAAGCCTGTCGAAATTATTCATCTTTTCTACTCTTCCTGATCTGCTTCTTATGATCCCACTCCTGGGCTGGGAAATACAGCAGCAAAGAGACGAATGCATGCACTATTGGGCTTGCTGCCTATTTTGATCTGGGCCCTTTCTGCTGCACAGATCTCTAGGTAGCTACATTCTTATAGTGGTTGCTTCTCAACCTTTGCCAATCTGTTCATGATCTTGCTTTATCTGATGTCTGAAACCAGTTTGCCTTCATAGAACTTATATAATAAACATTATTGTTTGCCTCCTTAGCATCCATTGCTTTCTTCCTTATAATACCTGATTTTTACTAAGGGATCCCCTTACCAAGGAAGTACATATGTTTTCAGAGAAGCTAACTCTATAGTCATTACCACAGTTGGTCCTGATTGAGCCAAGAGTAATTACAGTAGTAATTGGGGCTGTTCATAAATATTCTGGTTCTCCTAGGTACATAGTAGAATTGTATTTCCCAGCTTGTCCAAGTTAGGAGTGACCATATGACTTGCTTTGGCAAGTAAAATGTGAATAGAAATGATATATGTCACTTCTAGGCAGATGCTTTTAAAAGCCAGTGTATGATTTACCAGACCCCCTTCCTCTGCTGCAGTGATTGATAAAGCCTGCATCAAGGTGAAGCCTCCATTAGCCTTGGTCCTAGGGTGACTATGATGGTAGAGCGCCCCCTGCTGACCCACACTGCCATGTAGTGAGAAGAATAAAATTTTAGCTGTGTTAAATGAGATTTGGGGGTTGACTGCCACTGCAGTTTAAGTCCTAAACGAAATACTAATCACATCCTCTAACCTGTACCTGGGTCAGGAACCTAGACTAAGCCAAGGAATAGGTTGAGAAAAAGCTTGTGACTTGGTTGGTACACTGAGATGAGAAGGGAGGTTTGCCGGGGGCTTTGGTAAAAGAAGTAAGTTGCTTTTAAGAGATCCTCCAGAAGAGATGAATCCTCTCTCTCTGGATGTTGTGTGTAAATGTAAAGCCTGGAATTACTGTAGTCATCTTGCTACCTGCCAGAGGATAAAGCCAATTCAGTGGGAGAGCAGTACCAAAAGAATCACAGAGAAATGAAGCCAAAGCCCTCGTTGAATCATAACCAATTATTACTCTACCTCTGGATTTTTTCGTTTAGGAAAGCCAATAAATTTCCTTTACAGTTTAAGTCTTTTGAGTTTTTTGTTATCTCCCTCCAAAAGCATCTTAACATTTGCAACTTCCTTTCTGGGTTTGTATTTCCACTTCTACTCTTTCATCCGGTCTAAAAGAAATAATAACTAATAATGGCATTTGTTTAGAGAAGACTTACTATGTATCTGGCACTAAGCTAACTGCTTTTCAGAAGGAGATTATCATTCCATTTCAGCGCAGCAAAATGTGTGAGCTCCTTGAGAGGAAGATATATATATATATTTAATTTGTAGTTTTTGTAGAGATGAGGTGTTGATAGGGCTGATCTCGAACTCTTTGCCTCAAGCGGTCCTCCCACCTTGGCCTCCCAAGGTGTTGGGATTATAGGCATGAGCCACCATGCTACCTACTTGTAATAAGCCACCATTCTTACCCACTTATAAGAATCTTATTTTACATATTTGTTTTCACTGCAATTATGATATAGTACAAAGTTGGTACTGAGCAAATATAAGTTGATATAGTACAAAGTTGGTACTGAACAAATATTAACTGAACAAATGTAAGTTGACCTTTATCCTTAAAGGTCTTACAGTGTTGTTGTATATTCAAGTGTTAGAAATCTGGAAGATTAAAGACCAATACCAGACAGTATATGCTGTCGCTGAATTGAAGATCCAAAGGGCATGGTACTAATAGTAAATGCTGTGAAAGAACGATATTGCTATTATCATGATTGCCTGAAGGGTGGGAGCAAAAACTTTTTGGAAAAGGTCAAATTTGATCAAAAAAGAAGGATCAGGATTGAATAGTACAGCAGATTGGGGGAGTGGATATCACCTAAAATCGGGGCAGTAACAGAAGCAATAAGTATCGTGGTATCAAGAAGGAACTTGGTGCATTGAAGAACATGCAGTATATCCAATTGAAGTGCTCAAATATTACACCTTTTATTTCATTTTTCTAATCACAAGAGATAATAGAAAGCCATTTTTCTTTGAATTGCTTGAGGTAGGCTTGATATAAAAGAGGTATTGTGGCCACCACCCTGACTATATGCTCAAACCCCTTGTACACATTGTAAATTTGCAAATGCATCCATCCATGCACTATTTCTCCCCAGAGAGAGTAGAAGTTTCCAAGGGCTTGTGTGCCAAGCATTCTGCTTATTTCCTGTCTCTCTTAACTCAATGCTAGAAACACGCTGGTGCACAGTAGGTCCTCAGTTAACTACTTAACAAATTGATTCAAATTATCTGGTTTGGGAAAGAAGTTACGTGCCTAGTGAGCCTGATTTCTCAGCACTTTAACACTTCGTCAAACCTCTGTCAGATCAGATTCTCAATAGGATATCTTAAATACATGCTATTAAAATACCTAAATAGAAGTTCCATCTGTTTGAATAGACTGAGCCTGATGAATCAGCTAGAGAGGTGGGAGGCTGATCCAGCCAGACATGAACCCATCGGGTGGGGAACAGGCAGCTAGCTCTCCCTCACTTTGCTACCCTGGTAGTGCTCGCAGTAGAATGTACAGATTTATAAAGAGAAAACATGCTCAACCAGTTAGCAAAATGCAAAGAGTGGAGCAAGCTGTAGGGCAGTGTTTGTGGGCTCCTTAACAAGGTCCAG